CCTATACAAAGTTATAGCTTTCTTATTTATTTATTTGTATATTTCAGGAACAATTTACTGCTATGCGAGATTTATATATGAAAAATGGTCAAGGTTTTGTTCTTGTTTATTCAATAACTGCTCAATCGACATATAATGATCTCGTTGATTTACGTGATACAATTCTTAAAGTGAAAGATACAGCTGATGTAAATATTATCTAGATTTTTCTTATTCAATTTTTTTTTGAAATTATATTTTTTCTATCTAGGTACCAATGGTATTAGTAGGAAATAAATGTGATCTTGACGATGAACGTGTAGTTGGAAAAGAAGTTGGTCAAACTTTAGCACGTAATTGGGCTTCAACATTTCTCGAAACATCTGCTAAACAAAAAATCAATGTGAATGAGGTTAGATTTATTTAATGCAAAAACAAGAACTTTTGCATAATATAATTTAGATATTTTTTGATCTTGTTCGTCAAATAAATAAACGTGCACCGGTAAATAAAGATAAGAAAAATAAAAATAAAAATCCTTATCAAACCGGTCAACCAAATCCATCGGTATCAAGTGGAAAATCTGGTGTTGATGGTTTACAAGCAAATTCATTAAATCAATCATCTAATGGAAATAAACAAGGTTGTTGTATACTTCTATAAAACAAAAATCTCAATTATCGATATCTACTGCTTTACGTTCTTTTTTTTTCTTCTTTTTCTCATTTTTTTGGCAATCATATTCATAAGTCAACCTTTTTTTCTTTTCTTATTTTGTTCTTTATTCTCGGGCTTATTATTTTTTTTCTTTTTGGTGTATGTTCGTTTATTTTTCTGTCTAGTCAAAGATAAAAAATTTTGTTTTACATCTGATCTGTCGTTTAACATATGATAAACATCATTTTAGAAAAAAAGATATTGCTCAATATAAGATTAAAACATAAGAATCAAATCAGTATTAAATTCTTTCTTTTGTTTATCTTATCTGATTCTGTAATTGTTTTTTCTTTTCGAATTTGACTACCGTTAAAATGCATATAAATATATAAATATATATCTATTCATTTCTTTTTGTTTTGCTCTTTATTCTATTTGTATGTAGATGAAATCAAAAGATATAATAATAATAAAATGAGCCTTGATTGATCTGATATTGCAAGATTTTGTGATGAGAAATGTAATGAGATAAATTAACTTTGAAAAATTACATTCAATTATTTTAAAACAAGTGAAGTTAAA